AAAAAAAAAAAAAAGACAGTGTTCTTGATATATAAAAGTATTCCATCAATATTTGTAATTCACTTAATATTCAGATGACATTTAGCTCATAAAGTTATACTGAACAATACCATTCCTGGTAATCTTCACTGCATATTATTTTAAGGGGATTTCTTGTTATCTCCTTACCTACATACTTTGCACAGGGAATCCCTTGCATTCCAGATAGTTTCTTTCCTTCTGCTTCGTATTCCTAACCAAATGGTCCAGTGTTTTGCCATCAATTAAGGTAATGACCGCTGCAGAGAAGACATGAAAGAGAACCTCTGAGATTTTTGCAGAAAACCCAGTCCTAGCCTTAAGACCTTCAGTCTCCCTGAAGGATCTCTGAGTTAACCTCTCTCTTTATACCTAGGTTGCAACAGTGCCTAAGCACTTGATAAGTATATACCCAGGACCTTTCTTTGCAGATGTGCCTAGCATCTAAGTAACTGTCATAAATTCCTTTCTAATATATAGGTTTCCCAGTCCCTCGTTTAATTGTTAATATACTGTCAAGCACAATATATGTGTACCTACTAGTTTAATTTCAGAAAGAGATATTTTTCTGACCTTGCATCGAAATTGTAGGACTAAATATTTGGAAGCTACAACAGTTTAATTCACAAAACTGAAAATTGTGAGCAAAAAACTTTTCCTGTGTGAAACTAGATTTAGCATCACAATTAAATTTTTATCTGAAGTTTTCTTAAAGCTTGAATAACTTTTCTAATTTTAATAGCTCTTTATACCAAATGAAACATTTATATAGGATTTTTCTTTTTTCTTTTTTTTTGTTGGAGTCTCACTCCATCGCCTGCATGCTCATGGCCACCCCAGCGTCAACCTGCTGGGCTCTGGCGATCCTTCCACGTTAGCCTTCCAAGTAGCCGGAACTACAGGTGCGTGCCACCATGCCTGGCTAATTTTTTGGTTTATTGTAGAGACAAGGTCTCGCCAAGTTGCCCGGGCTGGTCTTGAACCTGCGGGCTCAGGCAATCCACTCGCCTCGGCCTCCTAAAGTACTGGGATTACGGGCTGAGCTGAGCCTGGCCTTATATAGGATATTCTATTTGCCAACTCATATTTTGTAACAGCTATATACTTAAAACAGATTGATACGTTATAGTACTTTATTTTCTTTGTGGTGATTTTTTTTTAACTTCAACATGTTTTATATTGGAGGATAAAAAGTTGCTGCTTTCTTTTAATAGTAATATGTAGCCGACGTACTGGATAACTGCGAAACAAGAAGAAAAGAAAAAGAATCAATGCACAAATTTTGATATTCCATTGATAAAATGGCAGCAAACTTTATATGTCCAAAAATTTAAGTGTTTTATTGTCGAAATGACAATTTTAGCAACGATGCAATGAAGAAAGTCTAAAAAGACTAATCATGGAAATTGCTTAAATTAAAACCTCATAACTTCCCTCCTAAATAAGAAAACAATAAGTTTGAGACACATTCAGGCATCACAGAACACTTGCATGCTCAGTAGTATTGGGCACTTTTGGAGGATACAGAAGAAGAAAGACCTTATACCTCACATTTACTATTTTTTTTTTTGGAGTTGGATTCTCTGTCGCCCAGGCTGGAGTGCAGTGGCACACTCCCAGCCACCCCAGCATTGACCTGCTGGGCTTAGGCGATTCTTCCATCTCAGCCTTCCAAGTAGCCGGAACTACAGGCATGTGTTACCATGTCCAGCTAATTTTTTGATTTATTGTAGAGATGAGGTCTCACCAAGTTGTCCAGGCTGGTCTTGAACCCCTGGGCTCAGGCAATCCCCTCACCTTGGTTTCCCAAAATGCTGGGATTACGGGTGTGAGCCACCAGGCCCAGCCACGTTTACTAACTTTAATGAAAGTCCCTGTTGTAAACTGTAGTGCATAATCACAGCATTCATTTAAGTTATTGCAAACACATGTGTTTCAGTCCTACCCAAAAAATTGTACTATATTTAGATTTCACCTATTTTGTAGGCCTTTACAAAGAAACTACCATTTCTACACGCACAAAGTTTTGGTGGGGTGGCTATGAGAAGAAATTGCTGGCCACACAGATTACTTCTATACATGTGAAGAGGAGATTAAAAAAATATATTTTTTAGTTTTTCTTATAACATAATTTGAAAGTGATAATTTGTTTTAAAAAAGCAGCTAACTTAAATTATTTTATGTATACTAAAATATAGAGCAGTTGTAGCACCTTAACAAAAACAAATTAACTTAGTGAATTAATTTTTTGGTAAAATCGGGCTTGGCTGTGTGCCTTTCTGCCATAACTAATTCTCTCTGTATCAATAAGATGAAGTCATAACTGCCACCGGTGGCTGCTAAGAAGATCAAAGATACTAGAAGGTGTTTTGATGCCGGACTCAGTGGCTTAGCCTGTAATCCCAGCATTTTGGGAGGCCGAGGTGAGTGGATTGCCTAAGCTCAGGGGTTCGAGACCAGCCCAGGTAACTTGGCGAAACCTCGTCTCTACAATAAATCAAAAAATTAGCCGGTGTGGTAGCACATGCCTGTAGTTCTAGCTACTTGGAAGGCTGGTGGAACGATTGCCAGAGCCCAGCAGGTTGACGCTGGGGTGGCCATGAGTGTGCCACTGCACTCCAGCCTGGGCAACAGAGTGGGACTCCAACTCAAAAATAAAATAAATATTAAACCATATATATATTTTAAAGGTTAGGAGAGAATGATGGGGAGAAGACAGGAAAAAACTAGAGTTA